TACCCATCTGATACTTGTCTTAGGACATGGATACAATTGAAATGTAGAGTGTTTTGAGTTAAACCAGCCTTCGTAGAACACAGTAGAGAAAGCGCTGCAGTCTGTCCACACTGACAGCTGCAAGCGCACTGGTGTGGCCACATATGCGGCACTTGCAGCAGCCACAGAGAGCAGTACATTGTGGTAGCTATCCCAGCATGCAAGTGGTGGGTGGAGTGTGACAGGGAGTGTGTATGTGGGGGGGAGAGAGTGGGTTTTTGGGGGGCTGAGAGCATGTCAGCATGCTGTCTTGTAAGTTTAGATAGCAGCAGATCCCTCGTCCCCCCTCTTCTCTCTCTCTCTCTCTCACACCATTCCACAGTAATGGTTTGCTTTGATATCCACGTTCCTACAGCGATTCCAAAACAATGACAAGAGTGGCCACTTGATTTAAGGGGATTATGGGACGTTTCTGGAGGCCGATCAGAGTGCAGTAATACAACACCTGGTTCACGCTGACACCCAGGAATTTCAGGAGCGCTCTTCCCACGGAGTCAGAGTGCTCTAAGTGCCTTGCCAGTTTGGAAGGGTCGTGAGTTAGGGCCCACGGGGCTGGTTTAATGCACTCTAACTTGCAAGTGTAGCCAAGCCCTTAGGGCTACCGTAGTCCCTGAAGCTGCTGTGTACTTCTCACCTTGTGTTTTGTCCAGGGTGCGAATGGTATTTTGTCACTGAATCTGTATTCGGTGGATCCACTGGTTCATGCCCAAGCTCCCTTCTGTGCTGGAGTAAAATGATCCCCCACAGGACTGTACTCTCTGATGTGCAGGGTGTTATAAAACCCCTGTTCAGCCTTCCTAAATCCTCTCTTCTTACACAGGGGAACTACAACAGTTTTGGTGCTTTCAGGGTTCCCAGGGCCTGCCAGGAGGTGGAGTAGGGGGCGGAGGGGAGGGAGGGAGCGCAGGAAGAGAAGGGTATTTAAAGAAAGTTTTATCTTAAGTACAGTTCTTTTTCTGTAGTTAAACTGTTTGAGGTTTAGATCCCTTTCAGATGGTTTAATTCTTTTTTGGAAAGTATTAAGAGAATTGAGTTGTTACATCTTATCTATTTTAAAAGAAATTTCTCCAGTGGTAAATGGAAATGTAATATTAAATTAACTGTCACCTAAAAATAGATATAGCTCATACAAATAAGTATAGCTCAAAACAGGTAGCCTTGTTTGTCTACCTAGTAATTGTACAAGCAGAGATCTGTTTTTAACTGAAACATTATAGCCAAAATAGACAGAATTCAGCCTGATTCTGAACTTTTTTTCTTAGCCAGATGTCCCATTGAACATACCAAGCCCAAATCTCAGATATACTTCAGGTTTGGCAAGCCTTAAAATGTGGACAACTGGCCATGCTGGAAAGACCTAACTTTCAGGATAATATGTGGAGTATGTTGAACTGTTCCCAAGCAAAAAAAGTGTGTATGATTTTTAAAATAATTTGGCTGGAGTGTTAAGTGTTTGGCTATATTGCAATAAAACTTCCTGCAGCACCAGTGTTTTTTTCCTAGGAGTTTTGAGACTCCTATCAAAGTAGTGACTAGTCATGCATAGTTCAGGAGATCCAACAAGGATATAACCTAACGTGGTTTGGCTTCAGGTAATTGATGAGCGCGGCTGCTTTGCTGAAAACATTGGACCACGTTTTTTAAGGCATGACTTTTGAATATGTGTAAGAAGCGTGATACAAAAAGGATAGATTTGGCATTTGAAAAATCATGCAGACAAATAGAGAAGCTGCAGTACATTTTAAGAGCCAGATATGATGCATATATTTAATAGTTTAGGTTTGTCTGTTATAAGGTTTGAGACCTACAGTAGTAAATGTAAAAACATGTTTGTCTCAGATTTGTTTTAGAGAATTGCCTTTGAAATGATGAAGTCCCCATTTTATTATATATGAAATAATTTTGTTTTGATTTTGAAAAATGGTGGCTTTGGTGTAATCTAAACAATGTAAAGTCAGAGAGTCCCAGAGAAATCTGACATCTCCTTCTAAAGGTACTAAATGTTAGTGGTCTGAAAGGTCTGGTTCTTGATTTATCTGAATGCATGAGAAATTCCCAGGCTCCCATATGTTTGCTAAGAGACAACTAGAAAAGATTGACTCTGCATTGCAAGAGCTATGTTTGGGCAACCCTCTCAAAGGCAAGCAGTCTAGTGAATAAGCATTAAATTTGTGCTCAAATAACATTTTCTCTTGCCTTGTCTGCTTGGGCCTTCATTAGTGTGTCAGCAAAGCTAAAATCAAATAAAACCTTCTGTATGTGCTGTAGCGGTGTCCGTTTACTCAAACCACTTGGAGCTTTTTTGTGAAGAAGAAAAGTAGGATGGTGCTTATTTCATTTCCCTAATCAAGAAAGGTGTGGATAAACTGTTGCTGCTGAACAAAATGCGGGGTGGGAGGAGCAGCTTGTGCATTCTTTGAAGATTTGGACATTGCTTTTTGGAAATCCCTTGAAAAAACAAATGATTAGAGTGCTTGGCGTAGCAGGTTTTTTTTGACTAAGTAGTAACCTCCCAGGATGAAGTCTGAACTCTTCATTCGGTAGAAGAAATGTTTGAGAGCTACAAATGTTGCCTAATTTGCTCTTAATTGAACACTTTCAACTTTCTGCCTTCATCCATGAAGGAGAATAACAAAAAAGAATAATTTTGAACTCCACAGGGTATGTATTATCTGTATTATTAATATTTTTGTGGTCATAGTAAATTCTGATTCTAAGTTTAGTGCTTTTGATGCTTAAAAACAACAAATGTTCTGTACCTTTTAAAAATCAGTATGCTTGATACCTGAATTAATACAAATAAAGAACGTAAGCATTTTTATTATCTGAAATAGGAACGTGAATTTGGACAAAAAATTCCTGTGGTTACATTAACTTGGTATAGTGGCAGTTGCATTTTTGTGTGTGTGTGTGTGTGTGTGTGTGTGTACTACTGTTGCCTAAATTTTTCCAAATGCTAGGAGAAAGCACACTTTCATGTTGTCTGCATGATTA